TATATTCTCACCTTAGCATACAGACTCCTCAGCACACGGTGGTTTTAAGCATCTGAAGTTGAGTGAGTTGGGGGAAGGGATTGAATTAAAGGTGAAGAAAAATGAAGTTATTAAGCTTAATTTCATTAAGCTACAACAACTTGATTTAGTTTTAAATCGACTGAAGCGGAAATGTGAGTTCAAATTAGACACGAGTTGACGTCAACACAACCCAATTAAAATAACGTTTGCGACTCAAAAGGTTTATCAGAATCAGTTTATTAGAACCATGTTGCAATTATGCGTTTAATTAAACGTTGGGAATTACTTTCAAGAGTGTACATTTGTTTTTGCACTCCTTCTCATTAAGTTTCCCGTCACAACATTCTCGTCGCCTCGCAGCACAGTTTGCATTAGTTCACAGTAAAGTTTGTATCCGCTTGCAATAAGGTGTGATCCGAACAGTTGGTGTGTTGGCTCAGACACTCGGTCGGCACGAATCGAAGCACAGACGAGTGACAACAGTGACAACATGTCGTCCTATGGCTGCAGCCACAGCAGAGGGTGACCATTAGCTTAGCTTCTGGTCGTACCAAGAAGTCTGTGACGATTCAGGTCATGGTTATTCTGGTAGATTACTCGTAGCAACTGGACTTGCTAGAGTTCCTTGAAGACGTTCCACCTCTCATCCAAGAGGCTTCATCAGTTCTGACTGACTAGTTGGGAGTTCCAGATACATCCTTAAGGAGTCATGAACAACTTGAGTTTCGGTTTCAGTTGGGGGTTTGTTGCTCCTCCTCCTCGACTCCTCCCCCTAACGACTCACATAACGAGAGGGGGAGGAGCAACAAACCCCCAATTCAAACCGAAACTCAAGTTGTTAATGGCTCCTTAAGGATATAAGTATGTGGAACTCCCAACTAGTCAGTCAGAGCTGATGAAGCCTCTTGGATGAGAGGTGGAACATCTTCAAGGAACTCAAGCAAGTCCAGTTGCTGCGATTAATCTACGAGAAACCAGGAAGCTGCAGGAGGCAAATGCCTGCCAGTTTTTAACAAAGCAAGGCCGTGTTTTATCATTTAAAATTAGCATATGGTTGCCTTAAACGTTTTTGAAAAGGGAGCTGTTTCTAAAACACAGAAATATTTGGTTCGATGCTGTAAACCCACGCAGCTCTGACCGTATAAATGTCTTTGACTTTAGATTATGTTGCCCCACAGCCCAGTATGGAGTAATAAGAGAGAAGCGATGGGACGGAGACAAAGGGCAGAAAGAAAAAGTAGCCACGGACAGAAATAGACAGACGGGGGAAGAGAAAGTGAGACACCAAAAGGCACTGACAGGGTGGAAAAAAAAAAGTCCTCCTTCCTATATCTCCTGTTCTCTATTATTCATGAGTCGAAGAAGCAGTGGAGGGGAAGGAGGAGAAGGGAGTGTAGCTTTGTGTCCTACCCTCTTCTATAGGACCCTCTGAATCCACTACCTGCCTCCTGTCTCTTCAGCCGTTTCTCCTTCTCGCTGACAGTCCTTTATTTCTATAGTTTTTATTTGAATATGTTTATTTTAAAGTCAAACAGCAGATTCAGATGGTTGATAAAGATGATAATTAACACGTCTGTTGTGATGTCTGTGTTGGGGAGACGTGACATTAATGACACCTTTATGCACAAATAGGATGCAAATCGTTAAATTTTTCAAAAGACTGTTGTTCGTATCTAAAGACAGGAAGCTCAAGACACCACTTACTGCTGAGAAAGGCTCCGTTTCAAGGCTGTACTTTTAGTTTGCTGCATTGTAAATATCAGTAAAACTTTGAAAGCGACTTTGAGTTTCTGCTCCTTCAACCCTGTCGGGAACACCGTCGCTGCTGAAGGTCACTGTTTAGTAGTTTTACTCGCGTATCCTGGAGGCGAGTGCTGCTCAAGAGGGCTGAAAAAAACGAATTTTGTGGTCAGAGATTGACAAGACGGTCTTAGGAGACCTGGACCAGGACTGTTTTCTTAATCCCATTCCCACCCGAACACTCTTAGCCTTCACAGTTCTCAGTCTTTCCTCGTCCTGCAGCGAAAAATGTTTAACCGTGTCGTGTTAATAAAGATCTGTCGTCATTGACCCATGACGTTACAATGCCGTTCCTTCATCTTTGAAGAACAGCCTGCTTTAACACATGAGCACGGCCCAGTTGTAAATACTTTGCACATCTGTCACAATGACGTCCGGTACTTTTCAGTTTCTGTCGACATCTGTGAAGTGTATCCACGTGACAGGCGTGTCTTATTTGGCTTTTTTTGTCTTAAAAACCTACTTTAATCTGCTTTTCATCTTAATTTTAAGACTCCATCCAGTCCGAAATCCCTCAATTTATTTTTTTATGACCCACTTTCACCTGCTGCAAAGTTAAACAGAACTAAAGCCCCTCTTGTGATGGTGTATGTTTGAATGCAATAGTGTAAATATTTTATCCTTTTCAGCACAAAATGTGATTGTAAATTCCCAGTATGTTGTATAAATAACATGTCTCTTAAAAGAGGTCATTTTATCTATTTTATTTGTTGTTGTTTTGTGGGCTTTCTTGTTTTTTTTGGGGGGATCACGAGTGTCCAGACTTGCCAAATGTCACATTGTCTTGTTTGTTTGTTTTGCTTTTGTATGAATGTTTTGTTGACTGTTTAGGGAAGGTAATCAGTTTCCAAATAAAAACAAGAAATTCTGCTTTTAGTCGTCAGATATGGCCGGTTTGTAGATGTTTTTATATGATTTACACGTAGTATTATGTGTCGTCGCTTCTGTTGTTGACAGTTTTAATGCAGAAAAGGAAAAACTTTACAGGTGGTTTTAGTTTGAGTGGTTCCTGAATCTGAAAGTTTGTGTAGATGAAGCTGTAGCTGCTCCTGTTTTCTGATGTTATTTGCTCAGGTCACGCTAAGATCGCTCACTCCCATGAGATTTACGTTGGGTCTCCAGTAGATTCCTCGAGTGCACTTGAGCCCAAAGTCCAGTATGTTTGATGAGTGTTAATGTTGAATCCATGCCCAGGTCTGCTTTGGAACAGGCCGTCCATTAAGTATAAAAGCCAGCTGTACTAAAATCAGGAAGTGTCTTCTCCAGCTGTTGAGTTTGTAATGTCAACATCACTTGACTGTCTGTCGCTTCCATTTTACATCATGAGTATAATAAAGCTCTGCGCTGCACCTGCTGTCTCCTCAGATATCTTAATACATGTGCAGCTTCTGACACTCACGTCCACTTCATTGCACGACAAAGGAGGTCTGAAGACAGGAGGGAGTGTGTTGTGTGTCCAGTTCTTTGTCTGTTCGTCCAGTGGAGCGGTGCTTCATTGTGAGGCTCGCTGTAGGAACTGTATAAATCGGATTAGGAACACATTTTTACTGTACTGTACAAGAGGAGGGCGTAAGTGGATTCGGGTACAGAACGTTAATGTGATGTGAACAGTGGCCGGCAGGGAGTTTGAGTCACTTCTACTTGGACACGGTGTGGATTAATTGCACCTAATCTCTCTAAGAAACATTAGACTGAATTCCAGCTGAAAGGTGGAACAGTAATAGAAATTTAAAGTCTAGATTCTTGCTATTAGCTGAAAGATATTAAAAATGTGACAGAGTGGCGTCAGACTTAAAGGTAAATTCCTGCTTTCTACAGCTGGTAGATGGGGTTGTCCTCCAATTGCAAGGTTGGTGGTTCGATCCCCCGCCGTTGAAGTGTCCTTGGGCAAGACACTGAACCTGAAGCTGCTCCCAATGACAGGCAGCACCTTGCATGGCAGCTCTGTCACCACTGGTGTGTGAATGTGCAGTCCAGACCATTTACCATTTACTAAGGGTCCGTGCAGTTGCATTATCGAGTCACGACTGTAGTTGTTTTCAGACTTTGGAGGTGTTTTGATTTGTATCCCAAACAAAGTAGGAGGTTCTAATTTCTCTAGAACTGTGGCACCACGTAGCCCAGTAATAATTACATCAACACGGTGCTTCAGTTTAATCTGTACAAACTGCTATGATCTGGAGAAAATCACAGCCTTTTACAAACATTCACAGGAGCTTGTGGTTTTTTTGATATGAGGAGCTTGTGTACCTGTTGCAGTCTGCATAAAAGCATGTTCTCTATTTGTTTTAAAGTCTGCATTGGTCTGTGCACTGGATATGCAAAGTATAAATGGGCCCAGACCGACCATGAATGATATGTTCACGAACTAAATCTTTGCAAAAGTTCTTATCTGTTCTGCTGTTTTATTTCATTTCATTATTCACCGTGACATAACGCTCATGTTAGCTACCATCATGTTGGGGTTATTTTCCTTCTTTCTCTCCGGACCAATGAGCAGGAAGTGGCAAATCTGTCCTGCTGATATTATTTTCAGTCGGCGTGTTAGCGGTGTACAAAATGTATATTTAAGGAGATTTATTCATGTGAATCTCCTTCACACCCTGCGCTGCTGCTACATTTGTGATTTCTGTGACGATATTTCTGCAGCTATTTTTCTTCTCTGGATGTGAAACTAGAAGATTTTTATAATTGAACCTTTTTGTGGATTCACACGTGCACACACATTAAAAAAAACACCCGAGACGACCGAGCTTGTCTAAAAATCTTCTACTTTATTCAGTAAGATAAATGTTTTTTGTAAAACATTCAATAAAAAATGATCTATAATTTATTGCTCATTGTCATCTTTACACTAGGACTTTTGATCTGATGCATAATATTGATTCCAAAGCACTCTCACGAGGAATATGTTGCTAGATATTTTAGACAAGGTTTTTTTTTTATGCTGTCATCGTAATAGTAATAACGTACATACATACCTACGTTCAGATTATATAAAAACAAACCAAACAAAGTTACAGTAGCTGGACAGAAAATAAAAATAAAAATAAACAGACAGGGGACAAGGTGAACTCAGGAATCTTCTCATGTACTTTCTCGTGTAATTTGTTGCTTTTCCGGTGCTGTTAATAAAGTTTTACATCTCCTGTTGAAGAGAATTCAAAAGCTGCTATCGTGAAGCCGAGAAACTTTAGTTCTTTGTTTCGTGGAAGTCTCTCGTCATGCATTTATCATCAAATTACTCTCGAGTGTTACATAAAGTCTAATAACTGGGCTATATTTGAAAGCTGCTCTCCCGCGTCGGCGCGTGAGCTAGTTAGGAAGCGGCGTCGCTTCTAAATGAATGACGGGGATTCTGCATCGCCGACAGGTGAAGCGATCGCCGTTGATCGTCTCGTTGCAGTGTGATGTTTGCTGGGAAACTTTGGGCTTTTTCTGGGGATGTTACTTTGATATGGACCACCCAAGTAGACGCTGCTAGCCTCACCCTATGAAGGATCCATCGCCAAGACACCCTCAGACATCCTGTGTCCACGGCCCGATGGAGGCATAAGGACGTATACAGGTGGTTTTACTATTGTGGCAGCTCATCCCAAATCCACCGACTGTACCTTCGAGCACAGCGATTCAGATTAGAGGTTGTTATTTCACACCCGATATTCCCCAAACGCACTTTATCTATTTAATCTTTTCCCTCTCAGGCATCTTTTCCACGACGTTAATTCGCGGACAGTTCAAATTATGTTTAAAAAGGGAAAATTAAATGTTACAGCTACAGATAACGAAGCTAAAGTCACCTAAACACCGAGCCACGTCGAATAAAGTGTAATTAGATTCATTACAGTACTGAGATGATTTTGAGGCTCCCCTGTCCCGAGTCCTGTTTAGAGAATCCCACATCCTTGCCACTCCTCCTCCCCTCATACACATTCTCACTGAGCAGTGTGTGTGTGTGTGTGTTGTTTGTCTTGTTGATCTGCTCGGCCTCGGGCCCGCCTGCCTGTGTGTGTGTGTGTGTGTGTGTGTTTGTGTGCGATGCAGCTGCGTGTGCAACCCACATGGGAGCCTTAATGTCCAAATTTATTTCGAAAATATGCACGCATAAACACGCAATTACAGTCACATGCACGCACACCCGCAGGCCGGTCCCGAGGTCGGCGGTGATGTTTGAACCTCATGCCACGTATTTACATTCTCGTTTTTAAGGAAACTGTGTACAAAGGCAGTAGTAGTAGATGGTGATCTGGCAAGGTGTAGAAGTTTTTTTTTGTTGTTTTGTGTTTTTTGTCTTTCATTTCGCGGGGGTATGAGGAAGAGGGAGTGCAGACGTGGGAAACGAAAGGTGAGGGAGAGGTCTCATCAATAAATAAATAAATAAGTTAATAAGTTAAAGGGGTCTTGTCTGTACATGTGTGGTGAGAGATAATGTTGTGCGCACGGTTTTTCGTGTGTCGGTTTTCCATGTCGGCCGCGTACGTCGCGTTTGTGTGCGATCTTCGGGGGCTTGTAGCTAAGGAGGAGAAGGGAGCAGTAAACTCAAACCACCCCCTCCCTCCTGCCCTCCTGCCCTCCAGAGGCCCGGAGTTTCATTCTGCTCTGACAACACAAACAGAGCTGCCTAATGACACTGAAGCAGAACAACACTGGCTTGCAGATCTCAATGTGATAACCATGCTTGACGAGCAATTTAAAAAAAAGAAAAAAAAACTGCATGTGAAAACTGCAGAAGTCACATCGTAGCTGTGAAAAGCTTGTCGGGTTCATGCATGTTGTTTCTTACACGTCAAAGTTTGGTTTGTGTCACCGGCGGTACGTTTAGTCTGAGGGAGGGATTTTGTGAACGTTTCATTCTGATGCCTTCAGACGATGCATGTTCTTGATTTATCTCCTCGTCTTTAGCAGCTACTTCAGGATGCACACATTTACAGTATAACTAGGTCGCAGTTTGTAAATGCACCATAAGAACCTGTCACAATGCTCTGCACTCGAGGCATACATGCATTACAGCTGCCCCCACGTTGACCTCCATTTACGACACGCTCGCGGCACGTCAACAAAGAAAGACCCTCTCCTGTTGTAATCTTTCTGGCTCTTCTGTCAAGGCGGCGTCTCGCATTGTACTCGCGCTATACGTCTTAAAGCCGCCCGAAGCAAGTTCCCGTACAGTTTTCCAAACAAAGATTACAGTTCTGAGTGGACACAGATGGAGCACCAGAGCTTCGGCTATGCTATGCTAACATGCTACGTCGCTACGCCTTCTGTGCTGACACGGCTGTAGTTGTTTTGTGCGTCTTGGTGGGGTGGGCTAAGTTTACATGCATGCGAGTTTTCGGGAGGTTGTGCATAAATATTTTTCATCTCTGTCTTAGTGTTAGATGATAGCTAATGGTTAGCTAAGGTGTTGCGATGTGCTAACTATTCTTCTTGGCAGTTATGAAACAGCTTCAGGTGCGTTACCACCAGCGTTGGAGTGTGGTCAAAACTGATTTACATGTAGCTCAGGACACGCAAGACAGTTTGCAATCGGATTTGTGATGTAGCTATGCTAGCGGCATACTTTTCGCAAACACGCTAGCGAAACCTTTTCTTACTTAAAGGAAGCAAACGCACATGAAAGAATTTTTAAGATTCCGTCCCATCATAAAGCAGGTTTCTGTCATTAACCACAGCAGTCTGTGAGCCAACACAAATGAATTCGTTCAAGCGTATTTACTGAAAATAATCTCTATTTGATTACAAGTCACTATAGGCTAGTTTAATGTGAACATGGTGATGATGGCGCGCATAGACGCAGCGCCCCCTTCAGGAGACAATGAAAGTGAGCGTTTTGAGTGTCTTGTCTATCCCAGACGTTCAAAACTTGCGGCCGGAAGACTTTGCTGGGGGTCAGGACAGTGAACGGCGCTGGAATTGGGGCGATCGGTTGTGATTTGGACATGCTGCGCTAACGCGGTAACGTAGCTGTTTCATCAACCCCATACTTAGAGGTTGTACTACTTCTCAATCGACCCGATCATTTTTTTGTACCTCGCCGTTGGACAAAATTCCTCCCGCAGATCTCCAGTCAGCCTGGCAGTGAGAATGTGACTCTACAGTTTATCACAGCTCATTAACTCATGGAAGAAAACAGAAATTAAAAAAAAAAAAAAGAACTGCAGAGAGAAAGCTTGTGACTGGCAGCTGCATAAATAAGTCGTCGTATATTCATATAAAGACATGTAGTACAAGTATTGATCATCATATCATAATAATGATGCATTGCCGTGGCAGGAATAAACTTGCAGTGAGTGTGTGGCAGTCGTGGTGAAGTGTGTGTGTTGCCGTCAGTGTGTGTTTCTGTGCCCTTGCTGTGTGTGTGTGTGTGTGTGTTGGGGAGAGGTTGGGGGGATATCAGCTGTTGTACATTCAAGGTGAGAGGTTAGGAGGCGCCATCCTGCCACTGCCTTCAGAGGCCGGGCAGGGGGGAAGGAGGGAAGGAGGGTCTGGGGTCGGGTGGAGGGGCGTGTGTCGAAGTTGAACGGCAGGGTGGATGTCTTCTAGAGGAGGATGCATTTCCCTTTCTCCACCCATGGGTTGTTCTTCATCAGCTCCGGGTTGAGGAAGGGATCCTCCGGGACTCCATCCTCTATCCACTTCACCAAACTTTATATAGAGAGAGAAAGAGGGAGAGAGGCATTTTTTAAATTCCAGAGGATGATTAATACCATAATTTTTTTTCTTCCATACAAGGCAAGAAAGAAAGAGAGGGCACAAACTTGCACAGTAATATGTCATATGGCAGGTTTAGTTTGCTAGCATTAGCCACCAGGAGCTACGAGTCACACCAGATGAAGTGAAGCGCCACAGTGTGCTTCATTTCTCGGGACGCTAACATCATTTGTTCCAGGGAGAAAATGTTATTTACTCTGCGAGAGGTTACAGAGTCTCACTTTAAATTCAGTTAATCACCCGTGAACGGTACCTCGGCTCGACAACACGCTCCTTCTCCTATTTTTTAAGTAGTTTTTTTTTATATTCAGAAGGGTTTCAAACACACCAGAATACTTTTAACTACATTAAAAACAGCAGCAGTCAGAAGTCTACCACTGATGAAGCCTCAGATGAAGTGTTTCTTTTGAGTTTCCTTGATTGGCGCTCAATCCGCCGCCGCCGCCGAGACGGATAAAGAGAGAGCCGAGCGGAGCGACGGCTTTGTTTAGCGCTCAGATGTGGCTGCGACAGAAGCCTTCGAGACGGCGTTAGTCGACGTCACATCGCCACTTTATTGTTGTGGACTGATTAATGCTGTCATATCAAAAACAAAATCCCTGTTTATTTAATCATTGTTGTTAATGGTGTCAAAGTTTAGAATTACTCCAACACAAAACCTTGTTAAGATGCCTTTGCTTAATTGTGTTTTCCACATGTTTAATCAAGAGAGTCTTATCGACGTTTATCCTGCAGTGTTGATTGGCTGTTTATCACGACAGGAAGCCAATCGGATCATGTTGTGGGCGGGA